CCGCCCTCTTCACGACGTGTGCAGGGAGAGTCACCGTGTGCCCATGTGCCGGGGCAGTTCTGACTAGGGCTCCGCCTTCTGTTTTCTCCCTGTTGGCTCTTTCCTTTGGTCCTCCCAGCTCTTTGTGTTTCCACGGATGGTGTGGTTTTTGATGCCCTGGTTTCTGGGGTAATTTTAAATGCCGAAAAATAGTTTCTGTGAGGAATATCATTGCTACTGCTTATCGCTCAGTGTTTTAAATGTCTGTTGTATTGAAACTTCTTTCTGAACCATTTACCCAGACTCCTAGTTCTTAGTATCCCTAGCGTTATTTTTATCTGATAAGAGGTTGTCAAGGTGATGCCTTAGGGTGAGAGTAAATGACTGTAAAAAGTGGCTTTGACCCTGTAAGGCCTCCTTTCTCAACATCAAATGGGATTCGCTAGACCCTAGGGGTCACCTTCCTTGGGGACGATCAGGGGTTATACGCTGTGTGATGGCCACCGGGGCTTCTATTCTTCAAGCACATGCATCTCCCAGGGCCTGAGAGGGACATGGGTTGACGGCCGCACCTGCATCTCTAGGGCTGTCCCTCCCCTGCCTCCGCCCTGACCATGTCCCTCCGTCCCCAAGGTAGGTCAGCAGGAGTGAGCCCTCAGGCTGTGCTGGGGGCAAACGAGACAGTGACTGCCTTCTCGAGGAGGTCTGTCAGTGAACACGTGAGCCAAGCACAGGCCAAGACAATGAGTCCTATGAGAAAGGAAGACTAGGCCTCCACAAGGAGGAAGAACGTTCCAGGCAGAAGGATCCAGGCCCTAGGACAAGAGTAGCTGGATGGGCTCAGGGCCTGCAGGGAGCCAGGCTGGAGGGGAGCAAAGGAAGGCCGAGGGAGGTTACACTGGGGTGCGGAGGGGCCCTAACATAGGCCTTGGGGTCCTTGGTAAGGTGGCAGGTGGGCGGATTTAGTCCCAAGTAAAGCGAGAAGCCTTTGCAGGATTTTAGGGAGACAATATCATGACCTGACTCTCTAGAAGCATCCCTCTGGCTGCAGTGAGAGGATGAGAGGCTGGACCATGGCTGGAGGGTGGAGGAGGCCGAGAGACAGTGAGGAGGCTGCTGTGGCCACCTGACAAGAGGACCAGGGTGGCTAGCAGGTTGTGAGAAGTGGCTGGGGCCATAGGGATGGTGGAGGCAGGTGGAGGGAGGGACAAGGGGAGGAACCAGGGGCTTCTAGGTGAGGGCTCAGTGACCTGGTGTGTGAGGCCTGGAGTTGTTGGGGTAGGAGAAGGGATTGGCGGAATGGTTGTCTGCTTCTGCCACCACTTTTTGAGGCCCAATGAGACCCCACGTGACCAAGCAGGCAGGTGGCTGGATCCCTGAGTCTGGAGTTCAGAGGCCAGGCTGAAGCTCTGCACTGAGACGT